TCCTTAAATACTGGGTACTTGGACCCTTAGGGTTAGACATTGGTGCCAAACATCGCGCTCAACGCAGCCCCAGACCCGTTGATCCTTCACTAATGAAGAGACCTGGCAGTGGGGTTTGAGGGTTTTGTCGTTTGAGGGTTTGGGGTTTAGTAATTAAGGGTTTAGGGTTTTAAGGGTTGTTAAGCCGTTTCGTTTGTTCTGAGGTGAACAGGATTTTATTAAAGGTTCCTGAAACTGCCGGAAAAGGATTCTATACTCCTCAATTTCGTGGCGTTGGGCTCGCCGGGAAGCAGAGATGGGATTCTCGCATCCATGCTTTACAAGGCTCAGGTCCGTGTCGATGCCAATCCACAGAGCGTTCAGAATCTGGGCAACCGGGGTTTATACAGTTTAGGGTTTCAGGGTGTAGGGAGCCATTATATGAGGTTGCCACAGGTGACGATAGACCTAGCGACCTTTATGACCTAACGTAGGGGGTTGTACTGCCTTTACATGGACATGACTTTACAGAGTGCTTTTGTGGAGGGCATAAGGTGTAGGCTTGTAATATGGTTTTACTCGTACAGTGTGGGCACATAGGGCTTGTCAGGGAGTTGGGCGAGAGTACATGTGGGTTTCTTGTTAACAATGCATGCATTCAGAGTGCCACTTCGTCTAAGTGTCTTCGTAATAGGTCCTTTTATTGATCCAACAGCACAGCACCCTTTTCTGCTCCCGGCGAGCGAGCCTACATACACTGAAGGTTGATGCTTTGACCCGTTCCTGGCAGCCAGGTTTTCTACCGGGGGATCTATGAGGCACATCTCATAGAGTCTGCAAGTATCAGGGTGACATCATCAAGCTATCGAGACGTCGTGGAATCGAAACGTATAGTAGGCATGAACAGCTAGGCAAGCGTAAGCGCTGTAGGGTATGCTGTCACGGGTGAAGACCGAGCATTCCTTGCAAGACTACGTCATCAGCCGTAATGATGAGCCAGCAGAGAGTCGTAATACAGGGGCCTTGCTCGTTAGAGTAGGAATTCCCGAAGGGTCCATGTGCCCACATAAAATATACTTTGACCCTAAAATACTTACATAGAGACTACTTCAAGGTCAAAGTATCTCAATGTACTATCTGGGTACATGGACGCTTGGAACAATTGTGCTACCATCATATTCAAGGAGCCAATGACCCCTAGTTGATCCGAGTATATTGCACGGACCCTAACGATCCTAAACCGTAAACCATATACCATGCTGAGGCATCTCGCGATACTTGGCATAGGGCTGCCGACACAAGTATATGGCAGCTGAACTGCCAGTCAAAGCTGCTGCATGCGACTGCCTTGAGCCTGGGATGTTCCCGATATCTCTTTGAACCTCAGGTCAAGCTATTTTCATTCGCTGAAACCTTACATAGTCCCTAAACCCTAAAGTAGGTCTTCAAGCAGGGATCTCACAGACTGTGTACATTCTCAGGAGGGTTAAACCCCCAAACCCAACTCGCTAAACTGAAACCCTCACCCCCAAAATGCCTTAACCCAAAGCCCCGGAGTCACAGACCCCGGTGCCCTAAACCCAAGAGCACAACAGCTCTACACCCCTTTGCGCAAACTCACAAGGGCGGCCAGGAGACAATCACCACCATCGTGATAGACTTGAAAGTGGCATCACGGGCGATGGCCTGGCACCTGCTAAGGTCCCTAACCCAGAGGGTCCAAGTACTCAAATAGTAGGGTTTTAGGTCCCAAATTCCATGTTACGAATGGTTTTTTGGCACCTGAAGCCTTACTATTTGAGTACTTGGACCCTTAGGGTAAGGCTCCATGTACCCATAACGAATATACTTGACCTCAAACAGGGCTCTTACATAGACAGTTTGCCTAAGTATAAGGCTTTGCATGTTTGTGTGGTTGAAGGCTCTACTTGCACGTCTGTGGTTGATGGCTTCAGGCTAGGATGTTTTGGCGGACTGGGGTGTGCCTCAAGAAAGGCACTATTTCAGTAAGCCGTAGCTCTGCAAAACCCTTAACCCTAAACCTTTAACACAACCCTAAACCCCCAAACCCCCCCTAAACCCTAAACCCTAAACCCTAAACCCTAAACCCTAAACCCCTAAACCCTTAAACCGTTAACCCTGAACCCCCAAACCCCGAAGTGGCTCTCCAAGTCTCAACCCAGCAACCGAAAATCGGTTTGGGCTTTAATAGTGGACTTTGGAGTAACCAGGGAGAAACAAGTATAGAGTTTAATTTCATGTTATAATGGTTCCCTTGAGGAACAGGTCCCAAAAACTAGTATTCAAGTATGTTACTCCAGAACCCAGTTATAGTACTATTGGAATGAGGAACCCAGTAACATTGGAAATTATTTAGGCTTCTTGATTGCCCCTCACCCCAAACACTGCACTCCAATGCCTACAGTCCTACAGCCTAAACTCTAAACCGTAAGCACTGACATAACTCTTCCCTGATCCCAAACCTACAGTGGCCTAGAGCCCTCATCAACGGCGGGCCAAGGTCTTGGGCTACTTTGGACATGAAGGCAGGAATATCTGAGGGTTTTGAAGCGTTTACAGGCTTAGCGTTTAAGTAAGACCAAACCCCGTTCCCGCGTAGTCACCTATACACCCTAAAAGCTACACCAGACCGTACCATGCCTGCCGGTCGTCTTGTACACAGCCTGCAGCAAGTTGCGAGTCTGACTGACGTGAAAAGCCGGTTCTTGCCATTGAAACTTTTTCAACTTACCTAAATTGCAAATTCACTGTCACTCACACTTCGGTGCCTGTCTACCGCTCTAATTCTGGATAAGCATGGAGAATCCCCAAGCCGAAACTCCAAAAATAACAGCACAGCAGAGGCACGGTCAAAACATCTCTACTGCACTCATGAAATGTAGCAAAGCATCTGCGCTTCGAGTGGTGACTTGTGGTTATGATGGAGGATTGAACAATCTGTGGCAAGTATGCGGAAATGTACCCGGCAGACCTGTCAGAATCACGGAGGCGCCTCTATCGAAATACTTCCAGAAAAACAGTTTGTTCTGTACATGCCTCCCCCCAAGTTTAGTCTGAAATCTGAAAGACTTACTTTAGCCGCAGATGTAGAGGACCTTATATGCGTGTCCATGTACACACATATAGGTATGTATACATGTATGTATATATATATATAAATATAATATGTATGTGTAAACGTATATGGAGCTAGTGACTCGCTTCCACCTATCAGTCAACCTATCTATCGATCTATCTATCTATCTATCTATCTATATCTATCTATCGATCTATCTAACGACCTATCTACCGATCTATCTTTCGATCTATCTTTCTACCTACCTACCTACCTACCTACCTACCTACCTACCTACCTATCCATCTATCTATCTATCTATCTATCTATCTATCTATCTAAGTATCTATCTAACTATCTAACTATCTACATAGCTATCTGTCTATCTACCTATCTATCTGTCTATCTATCTACCTATCTATCTATCTATCTATCGATCGATCGATCTATCTATCTGCCTGTGTATATATATTATATACATATATATATATATTTATTTATTTATGTATACACATACATGTATCGTTCTATCTAACTTTGATATATCCATACATCCATGCATGCATCCATCCATCCATCCTTCCTTCCATCGATCCATACAGTGAAGATTACCATAAGCCATTGACCCTGCACCTTAAAGCACACCGTGGACATGCTTAAGCCTCTGGGTCGTACTCCGGAGCGAACAGTGTTGAACGGATCTTGTCCTTCATCTTGTCGGCGTCTGGAAACATGGCTCCTGCACATTGCTGTTGCTGTTGCTGTTGTTGTTGTTGTTGCTGCTGCTGCTGCTGCTCTGCTGCGCTTGTTGCTTTTTGGAAGGGGTGGGTTTAAGGGACATAGTTAAAGCTTCAGGGTTCCGTTAGGGCAAAGGATGTGTGGCTCGGAAAGTCGCGTCTAAGGCTTGCGGATTGCATCCAAGCACAGTGTCTCGCAGTATTTGGCTTGTTGGTTCCGCAACCTAGCTCTCAGGTCCAGTTTTCGAGTAGGGTGGGTGGTCCATGGCGGTCATAATGGATTTCTGGACTCAGTGTCGTAGATATCGTCGCTGGTTTGAATGCCAACAATAGTAATCTAGACCATCCAGAACAGCATAGGAAAGCATGATCCATTTTTCGTGTTGCGGACCTTGTTGCTGAGCCAGACCTGCCAAGAAATCCTTGATTAAGGCATTATACGCCGTAACTTATAGTACGATCCCTAAAATGCTTTAAGGCATTTTCCTCAATTCAGCGGTGTTGGAAGATCTTGAGCCATTCCGGTCGCGTACAAGGCCAGGGCTCTGGTAACTTCATTCAAACAAGGAGATGGTTTAGGGTTTAGGGTTTAGGGTTTAGGTCGTGCATTAGGTTCCCTTGGACAGCATCTCTTCTTCGATGGTAGCAGCAACAGTCCTACTACTACTGACTTAGGGTTTAGGGTTTAGGGTTTGAGGATCATGCTACTATACTGCTGCTACACTTACTGCTGCTGTTGGGGCTGCTCACGCTATTTTGCTGCTGCTGACGAGGTTCTATAGCTACTGCGGCCACGACAACAACATCGACGATTCTGATGACTAGTAGTACTAACTAGGACACAAAACGGTCGTTAGTCACTCATGAAAATCACAATGGTAGACAATTCTTTATATTCGCACAACAGTAGCATCGCTGCTAATTGCTGCCGGTCCTGTGTCCCCAATCGCAATATCGCACGTCGACCAGCTGTATTACCACCAACGTAATTTATGATGCCTATAAACCCTTAACCCTAAGCCCTAAGCCCAAAAACATGGACGCTGAGGGATGACTAACCTTGAACCCTAACCCTGAGTTCTGAACCGTAGAGACTATCAGAGCCCTGCAAAACCTTATGAAATCCTGCTTATAGGGGGGTTTCCGAAAATAGGGGACCCTAAGATAGTACCCTAAATAGTAGGATCCTCATTATAAGGACCCCCAAATAAGGTACCCTAATTTTCGGAAGATCCCGTAGAAGCCTGAAAAGGAAGGAACCCACACACTGACGTGACACCGTTGAAGAGCCTCTACAGTAACCTCAAGGGATCCGACAAGGACTCCGAAAAAAGAAACCCTAAACCCTAAACCCACAATCCTAAACCCTAAACCCCACAAAAAAGAGCCCAACAAGGTAGCCTTGAGAGAAGAGACCGAAGCCCTCCGGCGTTGGTGAGGTCGAGCGTTTCATCAGGGGCTCCTGTGGGTAAAGGGTTTAGGGTTTCGGGTTTGGGTTTCTTTAAATCTTTAAAAAGCTCCTCCGGGGTCCCTTTAAGGGCTCCTTTAGTGAGCTCCTCTAGGGGTTCCTTCAA